AAATGAGAACTCGCTTGTAGAATTCGTTATATGCTTCATGCCATCGTATTCATCACTGTTAATAGTAATGTTGTAGATAGATAGACTGTCAAAATCAACATGTTGACCGTGAGGGGAGAGGGATATGACTGAGCCAGGAGCAGTAGATGAAAGAGCTGAAGATGCAGTTGATGGAGCGGATGTTCCGAAGAAATATGATCGAACTTGAGATTCACGAGTAGATTTCATAAACGATTCATCACGATCAACGCAGCCCCCCGATTTGGAAAGTTTGACTACGGATATCTTCTCATCCGATACGGGCATTGTAGAGGTTGTAGAAATCGGCTTCCCGTCATAGTTCTTAACCATCGTACTATAAAGACGTTCCGACCCAAGAACGAGAATCGTCGAAACTAAGAGAAGGTGAGTTTTCATCATCATATATACTCGGGGATGGAAACATACTCGAGAATTCTGTAACTATATGGTTGATGATATCTTCACCGCCACCTTTCCCTTGGCTGATTTCTCCGGGGGTATCAACAATGATTCCAGCCTCCTTTGCTTCCTCATCTTCAGCTAGCCGGCCCGCTACTGTCAGAGCGAGTCTCGAGACAATAGACTTGTAAAGTTCCTCCCCACCACTGAGAGGGCTCTGTAAGCCATAGAAATACACCAGTGGGAGTTTAACGGGTATGGGCGTTGGTCCAGACAACGGACTACTTCCCCACCCTTGCTCAACATCAATAAGTGTCCGGAAAGCCGTTGCTGTCAATGTACCGGGCACACTCAACATCCCCTCTGACGGATCAAGGTTGACCACAAATGGCTGACGTCCCATCTTCGTTGCGTAACCCGTCAATATCTTTGCCAGGCTCGTTTTTCCGGCATCCTCCGGCCCTAGAATTAGCACACGGGGCCCGCCTCGACCGTTGGCCTTTGCCTCATCTCGTAGTGTTTCTAGTGCGAAGTGTACGTTCGCATAGTCTACCATTGGCGTTTCTTCGGCGGTATATTCCACTTGACATCCCCCACTGCCTGATCCAGCGGGAACAGGGGCACTCCCAATGACTCCTATAGAAACTGGATCTCCTTCCGTTACTTCCAATGTACATCCATGCCAGGTGTATATGGCAGCCTTAGTCCCTGAAAAGGTATATGTTTGCGACGTAGCTAGTTCTGTTCCAAACAACTCTGCAGTGCCAGATAATAGCTACACTCCACGCCCAAGACACCGGTATTAGTGATATGACTTGTAAAGTTGGCATTAGGGCGCCATACCTTGACTCTAACTGAGTTTCCATACGCAACTTCAAATCTCCATTCTGAGCCTTGAGAAAGGGTATGCTGTACCGGTGCTGCAGGAGCTCTCTGGGATTCGACGGTGGGCTGCGAGAGCTCCAAGCCTGGCAGCGACATGATCCTCGGCTTTTCACAGCATAAACAGTGAGGTATGAGGACTTACTCGGCCTAATGGGCGGGCAGAGGAAGCGTAGCGTCTTGACGGAGGGGACTTTGTAGTTGAAATGCGGCGCAAATCGTCGTTTGACCTGGAGATCAAGTGTTTGAAAGGATGAAAAGCTGCCAAGCTTTCCTTTTATCGATAAGCTCGAGAATAATAAACATTCGAGAGGCAAAACAGACAGAGATCACAAGGATTCGATGACGATATGGATGATTAAGGGGGGAAGAAATAACACATTATTCAGACCGTGATTCACCGTTAATTTAAAGTAGTACTAATTTGCCATCATAGGTGATTGAATGTATTTACACAAAAGAAAGGAGACAAGGAAAACAGCCATGGCACAGCCAGTCTCTCCGTCGGAAAACAGTGGGCATGTAGATAGGAGGCCATTTTGAACCGTTGGATAAACACTGCCTTCCACGGTAATAAGCGCAAGTCTACATGCCGGAACTGATAGTGAGACTGAGGGAGACATATGCAACGACCAAGACGGGGGAAAAAAGGAAATAGTATGGCCAAATCCATGGACGTATCACCTCCATATGTGCATGTTTCCCTTTTTGGCGAGGTCGTGATATTGTTGTGCCTTGGTGGAATTTTAAGCTCTGTCAATGAGCTAGACGTCCGCAACGTCGGTGTAGACGTGTGTTATAGAGTATTAGTAGGGGTTGAAGCCGGTGAGTCTTAAATAATAGGATGGTAGGGCTCATGGAGAAAAGGGGTACATGCTATGCACACCTTTGACGCCGAAAACTCCAATATTGTGCTAAAGCAATGTTTTGAGAGGGAGGGGAGTGGATTAGCGGGTTATATTATAGGATTGATTTTATATGGTTGGTGGAAGTAAGGACGCAGCGTGTAGTAGTGTTATCTAGGGATGAAGGGCCTAGGAAGTGGGAAGAGGGATAGAGCTTCGTTTGAAAAGACCAGTTGGGGTCTGTTTCTGGGAGACAGCCGGCGTAATAGCGAGTGAATTAGGTACGTACTCAAGTGAGGGAGCTTGGGCTGGAAGGGGAAACGCGAGGCTGTACAGGGAGTAGCGGCGTGTATTCGGGCAAACGGGTGTGGGACCGTGCATGAGGAATACTCAGGAGGGGATGTAAAGGGATACATAGTGAGCAAAGGGGAGGGGGGGATAGGCAGTAGCAAATACAGTAAAAGAAGAATGAGAAATAACAGCTGGAAAAGATAATAACTATCAAGTGCAACACAGTGCCAATTCCAATCTGACTGGAGAGGGATGAAAGAAAAAGCACAAAGATGAAGGAAAGAAAAGGGAGGGTCGAAAACCTCCATCAGTGACCAAGATAGCACTGATGATTAAAATATAAAGATATCAAATCAACTAAAAGAAATAAGGTATCGCAGCACTGAAAGATGTTAGCCAGTGTAGTTTTAATGGATGTAAGGGATATGGACTTACGCCATGGCAAGAGTAGCAGTAACACCGAATAGAGCACGGTTCCGTACTCTCTCGTTTCTGAGCTTGTCTTCAAGTATCTTAGCCCTCTTCAAGGCATGAGGATCTTCAGCCTCCTCCTCATCCTCTTCTACTACTATCTCCTCAGCCTTTCGTTTCCGAGAAGATTTCTTGGCAGCAGCAGGAGATCCAGCCTGTTCTTCGGTCTCCTCATTCTGCTCCTGGAGTTTGGTAGCCTCTTCTACCATTTCTTTGGCTGTTTCCAGCATCTTCTCCGTGTTCTCTGGCATAGGTAAATCGGAGATGCCGGCGGGCATCTGAACAGTGACATTGGTAATAGCACTCTCCGAATCTCCTACAGCATCCACTTTCGACTCGATTTCAACAGTAACGCGTTCTTTGGGTCTCTTGACAAGGGTGGTTTCCTCTTCCGCGTCTTCGTCATGGCCATTGGCCTCGGGAGCCTCTTTTTCCTCCTCATCACGCTTCTTGGGAGCCGGGGAAGCGGCAGCAGCGTCTAGACTGGTTTGAAGAGAACTGCTGGCATTGGCATTGGACTCCTTCTGCGCCCTTCGCGACTTGCGGGGAATGGCCATCTTCCGGCCTGAAGCGGACTTGGATGGTGAAGCTGACCGTCTACCTCTTCCACGAGTGGTAGTCTCTTCAGGTGGGGAGAGGAGCGGTGCGTCAAGCGGCGGCAAGTCAAACTTGGGAGGTTCCGGAATCGCCTCTGCATCCGGTGACGAGCTGTCCCCACGTTCTAGGATGTCTGTGGGATCCAGGAGAGCGCGAACCCATGTCACGATGCCATATTCTCTTGCTAGCTCAAGAGCTGAAGGCAAAATGTTAGTTTTGCTAAATTGACAGGCTCTCAAAAAAAGGGCGGAAAACGGCCACTACATACCTAGTTCTGGCGAAATCCATACGTTTCCTGCGATCTCGTCTTCACTGGTTTCAGGACGCGTCCGGAGATACTCGCGCTCATCTGCCTCCTCCGAGTGTTTAGCCCATGGGAAGGCGATCTTGAACATTCCCGACGCGCTTATATGGCCATCACGACTCCGTCGCTATATATCAATTAGTACGCTGCCCAGTGTGTGCTTGGTCTAAAACAACGCGCAGGGATCAGGTCTCGCTATCTCACCATGAGAAAATAGGAGTCGATGTGGTGCTGCTTGGGCGGGAAGATCTCCGAGCCCTTCAGATCAGCCGGAAGCGGCGCTCTGAGGTGTGCGTACTCGAATGGCCCCAGGTTCGAGGGCATGGTCGCATTCGAGGAGCCGATTTTGGCCGGGGCGACAGCGAGGTTTGTCCTCCCCAGGCGGCGGCGCGCAACGAGTTCCTCATCTACAGAGACAGATTAGAGACGATACGCCTACACGAGGACACTTCCTTGACGTACATTCCGGGCAATTACTGCCCTGGAGCTGTGGGTTGCGGCGCGCGGGAAGTGGTCGCATCTTGGACGGGGCGTGATCGAGTAGTCGCCGTCGACGTGGACAAGTATGGGCTTCAAGGGTGGGAATGCGCCCTCAACACTTATCTCTCTACCTCTGGTCGGCGCGACACAAAACGACGGAGCAGCAAGACCTAGGCCCAGCAGGCGAAGCGGCGGCGAGACGGAGGCAGAAGCTGTTCTGTTGTGCAAAGAAAAGGCGAAGTCGAGGTCGAGGTCGAAGTCGAGGTCGAGGAAGAAGAAGAAATGCGCGTTTCTCTCGCTCGCAGAAACGCCAAAAGAGGAAAAAAAGGGAAAAGTTCGGGGGGGAGTGGCTTAGTCAGCGAGTCACTCTTTAATTTCTTTTTCTTTTTATTTTTCTTTTTCTTTCTTTTTTTTTCTACTTTTTATTTATTTATTTTCTTCGTTTTTGGGCAGCAAAAGACGAGGAAGACGCAGCAAGAGCAGAAGAGACGCTGACAGGGCAGCCTGTTTCTGCGCCGGGAGGAGAGCGTTGGGCAGGCAGTTTTGCGGAGTGCATGCAGCATACTGCAGGGAGAGAAGGGATGGGATTGCACCGCACGAATGGAGATTGTTGCTAGTTATATGGATAGCTATATATACACGCAGCACAGCACAGCACATCACAGCAGGGCTGGCATGAGAGGAGAGTGAGTGGTCAGGCCCTGGTCTGGCTAGACGGGAGGCAGGGTATACTTTTCCCCAATTTCGTGCTTCCCGTCAAATTCCAGAAATTGGATCTTGTCCAGCACTTCGTCGACGTCTTCCAGGGTTCGGATCTATATACAGCTTGTCAGCGGCGGTCTATAGAGAGAATAATGAGGAGAAGCAAGACCTACGTTAACGGCGATGTTCTCTCGCAGGTGGGGTGTGTCTCCATGCTCCAGCTGGATCATGACTGGCGTGCCACAGTTCCCGCAGAATTTATGCGGCCGAGACATGGTGGCACAGCGATACTCGGACATCGAGTCCATGCTGCCGTGGGTAAAGACGACGTCCTCGATCCTTGGGTAGACGAGCAAGTAGCCATGCTTGACGCAGCTCGAGCAGTTGCAGCGGACGGCCTTGCCCTTCTCCAGGGGCGCGATATTGTTGATCATGAACCGGATGTTGCCGCAGTGACAGTTGCCCTTGTATGTCCTCCGCTCGTCAGTTGAGGGGGCCATGGCCCTGTTGAAATCCTCTGCAGTGAATGGCATTAGTTACTGTGTATGCTATCCGCCGGCCGTTTGGCTTGTCGTCTTGTCAGTGTTTTGTTGCTAGTGGTCTGTTGGTCTATACAAACAAGCCAGACGAATCGAGGTATTTATATTGCCAACCACAGTCTGCGCGAGAAGGATCCGATAGAACAATAAAGCAAGCTCGAGAACTTATTCTTCAGCCTGTTGAGCTACCTGACTCACTCTTCGGTCTCCTTCTCAGCCCGCTAGTTAGACTTGTCCGCCGTCGATATGCCGCCGCGAGCTGGCAGGGGGGCCGCTGACGCTGTAGATCTGGGTGTCTCTCAAGCTACAAGGCTGCCCCCCATCCGCCGCTGTACGACCAGTCGAGGCGTGCCTTCACGTCAAGGACAGGCTGTCACAGTAACTCGTAGACATCGTCACTGTCATCAATGAATACTCGAGTAGCAGTGCATGTCTCTGCGTCTTCGATAGTGAGCTCGATCGATAAATCATAATAATAATAACAATAATAAATGATGATGATGATGATATATGACTTTAATATGACTTTGTTGTTACCCCACTTAGAAGGAAAATAGAAGACCTTGTAGAAAACCTTCAAAACAGAACAACAACACCGTCGACACGCCCCTTGGACAGCTCCAGCTTGGACAGCTCGACAGCTTCTTCTCCAGAGTGACTGCTCACCGTTCTCTCCTACTCAGTCAGACTACTGTGTGTATCCGCCATGGCAGACCACGAAGACGAGTTGGCCACCACCAGAACCGACGGCTTCAAAGTCGGTGAGAAGAAGACCGTTGAGGAGTACCAGAAGCTAGGTCAGTACTCTCCCGGGGAAGCTCGAGACGGCGGTCTTCCTGCTGCTGTACCCCCATATACAATGCTGCAAAGTCCCTAGAGGACACGGAAATTACTTATATTCAAGCTACCGCTCTGTATTTACTTTTGTCTACCTTCGAAACCGTTGCTGACCAGCTTGTTCTAGACCAGAACGACGAATCCCTCAACCGATGGAAGGCCTCGCTAGGCCTGGGAAGCGGTACTCCCATTTCCAACCCTAACGACCCTCGCACCTGTATCATCAAGTCGCTTGCTCTCGAGGTGGCCGGACGAGAAGATATCACCATTGACCTCTCGGAACCTGGAGCGGTCGACAGTCTCAAGGACAAACCGTTCACCATCAAGGAAGGCTGCCGATTCCGCATCAAGGCTACCTTCCAGGTGCAGCACGACGTTCTCAGTGGCCTGAAATATGTTCAGGTTGTTAAGAGAAAGGGCATCAGAGTGAGCAAGGACCAGGAGATGCTGGTATGTTTCACATATCCTCGGGATCAAGGCAAAACAAAACGGGAGAGCTGCGCTGACAATAGTGTATCTATAGGGAAGCTATGCTCCAAACACCACAGATAAGCCAGTATATGAGAAGAAGTGTAAGTGCCTTGTCTGTAATTGCTTTTCCGCGGTAATCCAGCTAACAACATAACCTCGATAAGTCAACGAGGAGGAGGCTCCCTGTGGTATGCTCTCCCGAGGACGCTATAACGCCGTTTCCAGATTCGTCGATGACGACGATGTCGACCATCTCAAGTTCGAATGGACCTTCGAAATCGCCAAGGACTGGTAGAGGGTTTGTTCTGTAATCCTCGAGTTACCAGCAGCACACGGACTGTGGCCCTGATCCTGGGATATGGCACGCTTTTCACCAGGCGTAATCGAGTCGCGTCTTGGTGTTCACACTACTGTTGCCTCATCAATGATTGATCTTTATTTCAACAACAAGAGATTTTGTTCTCCGTCCAGATAGCGTTAATTTCCTCATTTAAATGATGAAGATGACTACCTCTTTTCTCGCTTCTTCTCTGTGTCTGCCTTTGTACCACTCTGGCTTATAACACTCTGTTGAAGAAAATACCCTCTTAAAAACCTATCAAGACTGAAACTCCTTGGAAGTTCATCTGGCTGGATTGGATGGGGAATCTCTCTTGCTTTTTTCTTTTTTTTTTTTTTCTTTCTGCTCTGCATATTTAATCGAGGATATCATAAGAAATACTCAATCACCGGATTCTGTCCATCTTTCCCTTGCTGGGTCGCCTGGTCTCCACGATGGACATCATTGTTCTCCGGCGCAGCATCAAAGATGTTGAAGAATCGTTCACCAGTATCACTGACTTCTAGCACACTCGCTAAATTTCCACACCGGTAGCAGTAGTTCGGCGCACTCCACACAGTACTCAATCGGTCATCGTATAGCACCTGGTACCCTTCCTGACACAGCTGGTGTGCGCGCAAGATATGCGACATGCTGTTCACTTCCAAAAACTTCTTGACCACCTGTGCTCCAAAAGTGTAACCTGCACCTCGAGGAGATAAAGAAAATTCATCACGTTCGGTATCCGGGTCTGACCAGACTAGATCGGCCATGGGACCCTCGTGTGGTATCTCGCGGAACCGGTCGATGATCTTGATCTGATCAATCGAATGAATGGAAGGAGACAGGCCGCCGTGGACACAGAAGATTTGGTTATTTATAACAACACTCAGAGTAAGAAAATCGAACATGTCGGTGAAATAGTGCCAGACATTGGCGTTGCCGTATTTTCGAGCGCATTCGGTGTAGAAACCGTACGACTGCGTGACACCTCGCGATTCATGGTTTCCTCGGATTAAATGGACTCGTTCGGGGTATCTGAGCTTTAGACAGATAAGCAAGGAGATTGTCTCCACGCTGAACAGTCCTCGATCGACATAGTCCCCTGTAACGGTCAGAGAAAGGCCATTTCCCCTAGACAAACAAATAGTAAGGCAAGCTACATACCAAGAAAGAGGTAATTTGTATTAGGACAGAATCCTCCAATCTTAAAAATCTCAATCAAGTCGTAAAACTGGCCATGTATGTCGCCGACAACAGTAACTGGAGCAGCAATATGTACGACATTACTCTCTTTCATTAACAGCTCCTTTGCCTTGGAGCATATCGCTTCAATAACCGAATCTGCCAGCAGTTCGCGTTTGTAGATCCGTTCGATGCACTCATCCAAATCAATACTAGCTATTTATAAAGAAAGAAGCACGGTCAGACAACGGATCAAATACCCAAAAAAAAATATGTAGCATAAATATACAAACGGCTATGGTTCTGGTTGGCACTCACTTGGAAGGCCAGGCATGACGCCTAGGAAAAAGAGTGCTGATCGGTAGATGAGGGAAGGGAATCCCCAGTCCTATCTGTACCTTTGTCTTCCGGGGGGGAAAAAGGGAAGATGCGCGCACTATGTTGATGGAAGGGAGCGATTGACCTGTATCGGTATCTGCTGGGCTGGTTGAAGTAACGAGGGACGGTATGGAGAAAAAGGAACTCGCATGGTTTGATGCAGGGCGTCTGGGGGCTTAGATGCGAGGACCATGCATGGCTTATTTATATAAGACAGCTGATAACAAGAGATAGCAGGCTCCAGCAGCGCAAAAGTGTCGGCTTCTTCTGCTTGCTGCAAAGTTCTTGCTGCTTCTCACGGCGTCGTTTCTGATATCGGCGGATGACTAATCGTATTTGCTTAGCTAATTGCGTACTCGGGCGTCGGGTCGATCTCGCCGCGGCCACCAAAACATCTCCCCAGTCCATGTAGATCAGCTCTTGTTTCCAGGAGAGAGCCTACCGCTCTATCCAGCACCAGCTCGAGCTCAACAAAAGTCTATAAGTACATTTCACGGGCTTATTATCCCTGTGCTTCCTACAACTGGCTCGCTGGCTCGCTGGCTATATTAGATCTGATAAGGCGTTACACGTGACCCCCCTTTTCGGTCCGGCGCGGAACAACAAACAGCCGACGCCATAAATTTCCCTTGAGGTCGCGAACTTTTGCAACTTCCAACTTCAACCTCAACTTCCGTCTTTCTTGCGCGCGCTTAAGGACACAGAGCGAGACCGGGCCGGCTTCTTCTTCTTCTTTTTGGATACTCTTTGTCTCTTCTCAATTCTTTTTATTATTACAACCGCCAACAACCATTGTCGCTCGATCGAAGAACTTGATACGACTCGTACGCCAGATCCATACCTCACTTTGGCCTGATTCGGGAGCACTGCTTGAAACTGGTAACGGAAACCTCCAGTGACTACAGCCGCCCTCCAGAAACGAACAATCAATGTGAACCCATGCTGGATGAACCCACTGGAATACCCTTAACTATAGCACTCGCAGAGTATCACTATACCTCAGATATCAGCTGTTTTTAAGCTTAGTGGCAATGCTCCATCTCGCCAAAGGTTATATCAACGTCACCATTCCCAAAGCCTGATACCGAACCAAGCACAAACATTCTGGCGTCTTCCTCCTTCATCTTCTCATAATCTCCATTTTCTCTCTATTTTCATGCTCAACTTCTAGCAACAACACAAGATGGTTCCCCAGCAGATGGGCTCGCCCGACGAGGGGCTTCAGCGACGGCGTTCAGCACCTGGTTTTGGCAGCAAAGCGCAACGTGGGAGTAGAGGTAGCTATGGCTATCGATCGAAGAAAGGTGGTCCGGGTCATGGGTCTTTTCACCCAATGAACGCTCCATTCCCGCAGGACCAGCCACCGCCTTCATGCTATACCTGTGGATCTTACGACCACATGGTTCAACATTGCCCCGAATATCAACACGAAACATCACCGTGAGTTAGCAGCTATTATTACAAACTTGTGGTTACATATTTTGGCTAATTTGATGTCCACAGCGGCTTTCATAAACATCCACGTCCAGCAAAACGGCAAAGAACAGCAGAGGGGTCTCGGCATCAATATCGAGACGAGTTTCCACCTAGTCAAAGAGGACCACCTCATCGTTCATTCTCTCACGGGTCACATTCATACAACTACTATGACTATCCAGGACCTGCCTCCCCTGAGCAAGAGGAGTGGCATCACAGACCACCATATGGATACCCACCTTATGAACCTCACGGTCCTCCACCGATGGCCGGATATGATTATGATTCCCATGGCCCTATGCCACCCTACCACTATAATGATGCTCCT